CTTTCCTCCATAGTGAAGAGAATAATTTCTGTTAGTCTGCTGAACTTTATCCATAACATGTTATTGGTCAAGAGCGAAAATTAGGATTGGGCACGAAGTGAAGGGAATGGGATCTGTAAAAAAAAATTAGAAAAGGAAGCAATTTGTAAAACTCAATCTGAAAAAGAGAAATGAAAAACTGAAAATACAAAAACTGTAAAAATATAAAAACATAATAAAATGAATAAGCAAAAATAAAATCTGAGAAAAACAGCAATGAAATTCTCAGAACCTTTTTTGGTACGTTTTTTTTAAGTTTAATCTCTTGTTTGCTTTTTTTTTTAAATTTCCATATACAAAATGTTTTTTTTTTTGCAGTAATGGAACAAATTCCCTCCATTCTAGTACATCATACCCGACAGAAACAGTTGCATCGCTTCCTTAGACAGTCATCATATAAAGAAGTTTACCTTCCTGATTAAGTCTGTAAATAACCTAGTTCTCTTTGAGCCCAACGTATGTCAGCGTTTTTGCCAGATTTTTTGTACGTCAGGCAAACGCTGGTCTAAATGCAAGGTGTGAGAGGGGCTTAAGTCTTTGTTCTCGATTCAGGATTTTTCTCTTGATGAAAAATGTGTCATAGTCGCCCCTGTGTTCCTATTGGCCAGTTCAAACAGAATTGTAGCATGTTGTTGCTTGCAAATGAAAAGGAAGAAAATTAACTAACAATTCATGCAAGATCTTGTATATTGGAATGATGTGATATGTTTTTTTTTTTTGCTGGGGTTCATAATCAGTACTGGAGCTGATGGGGGATGGCATCCACCTTCTTAAATGACCGTCCCCCCATACCATCCCCTGTGATATTTTATCAATGAATGTGTAAAATTTCTACTATATATTAACAGTAATGGCAATAATTTTGCCCTTTCAACATTTGGCGGGCTGTGAGCTTACGAGTAGCTTGAGTAAAATAAATCAAATGAAAGAAGTGTCCTACCGTGACTATGAAGCTGATCCCAGTGGGAAAATTAGTCCCTAACTGTGTAGGGGCAGTGGTAGCCATGCTAACTATGTAGGGGCAGTGGTAGCCATGCTAACTATGTAGGGGCA